TGCTCCCTCAGACCCATTTCCTTCCTTCTCTGGCATCTCTGATGTTCTACTCAGGATCTGCCCCTCCCCACGCACCCCTTCTTCTTCCTCCTTTTTCTCTTACTTTTATTCTTCCCCTTCCCCTTGCCATATAGCCCATGCTGTCCCAGAATTTCCTATGTAGTCCAGGCTGACCTCAGTTTCCATCTGCCTGCTGATGTAAAAGAAACTCAAAGACAAAGAATTGATGTTCTAAAGAACTTACTAACAGATTTGCTTAGAAGACACAAAATCATACAAAGTAGAATTTAGTCAGGGGAATGTTGCCTCTAAAATACCCCAAAGATGGGCTGGAGAGATGGCTCAGCAGTTAAGAACACCATCGGTTCTTCCAAAGGTCCTGAGTTCAATTCCCAGCAACCATATGCTGGCTTGCAACCATCTGTAGTGAGATCTGGTGCCCTCTTCTGGTGTGCAGACACACATGCAGGCAGAACACTGTGTGTGTATATATATAAAAAAATCTTTAAAAAAAAAATAAATAAACTACCCCAAAGATAAGTAAATGCATGTCAAAAGCCAGCTTCGACAAAACACGTTTGTTCCATGGATTAGAATTATTAGGCAAAAAGAACAGAGATATAGAAGAAATAAGAGAAACACAGAACAGCACTGCAAGGGACATTCAATGAATACTGAATTTGCCTCATTTAGTTTCCACACGCTTAAATACTTCACTTTAAAAAGGGGAGGGGGCGAGGCCACAGACTTCATTAACGTGACACAAGGAATAGACTTGACGTCTTCAACCTTTGGCCCACCTGGGCCAAGGGGAGCAGATCCACTTCTACGCTGAAAGTACTAATTAACCACACTTTTAGTCAGAGTCGCTCCTTTGTAGCCACACCTCTTGTCAACAACTTAGGGGGAAGCTCAAACTCTTTGACCTTCAGATAAGGTAAAATGGACTCACTTCTCCCCGCGTGCGTCCTCACAAATGCTCTCCAAGCCTAGTAGAGATGAGTAAAATTTAAAATGTTAAAATGTAAATGTTTGCTGGGCAGTGGTGGCACATGCCTTTAATCCCAGCACTCGGGAAGCAGAGGCAGGCGGATCTCTATGAGTTTGTAGTCAGCCTGGTCTACAGAGCGAGTTCCAGCAGCCAGACTTGCAGTCTCCTCTCTCTATTTAAATTGTTCAAGGTGTCACCTGAGGCTGGGACGAGAGATTTAAGGATGCTAGTGCGTGAGGAATGAATATGCCTAAGGTATATGTCAATTAGTAAAACCTTCTATTCAAGGCCCACTTTTCCTTGGGAGTCAGCCCCAGGCGGACCTTGAAAAACAAAACAAAAAAGGCTTATTTTATATATGCATATATGTGTGAAAGTATGCCACTGGGAATCAGACTCAAGCTGGTCCTCTGCAAGGGCGAGAAGCACTCTCCACTGCTGAGTCATCTCCCCAACAGGACTCTGTTCCTTAATCTCCTTGATCTGTTTGGAGAAGAGCCACTGATTGCCTGATGTGGGTTCTTCCACTGTGCTGTGCTTTCTTGGCTGTGGGTGGCTTAACATTGTGGGTTTGGGAGACTAGAATGTCTGAAAAATCAATGGCCACTGAAGCCAACCAGAGGCTTGGTTTGTTATCTTTTTTTTAAAAAAAAAAAAGATTTATTTTCATTTTATTTATTTATTTATTTATTTATTTATTTATTTATTTTTGGTTTTTCGAGACAGGGTTTCTCTGTGGCTTTGGAGCCTGTCCTGGAACTAGCTCTTATAGACCAGGCTGGCCTTGAAGTCACAGAGATCCGCCTGCCTCTGCCTCCCGAGTGCTGGGATTAAAGGTGTGCACCACCAGTAAACGATCTTCCTTAAGGAAACACAAGAAGCCCCAGGGAGATGGAAGGGCTCCCTGAAGAAGTACTTCATGCTTGCACAGTGTGGTTTCTTATGACTCTTATGGTGGGAACTAGATGGAGATTTCAGTCATGTTTTTTTTTAATTTTTATTTTATATGTGTTTGCCTATTGTATTGCTTGTGGAGGCCAGAAGATGGTGTGGTTGTGAGCCATCATAAGCGTGCTGGGAATCAAACCAAGATCTTCTGCAAGAGCAGCACATGCTCTTAACTGCTGAGCTATCTCTCCAGCCCCCATGACTAAGGTAATCCTTTTTGGAACTGGTCATTTACGAGGGCAAAGGGTTGAGCCAATAGGACTCCTTATTTCACATTCATATTCCTATCAGGAATATGCTCAGGGGTCTCAAAGAAAGAGAATACTACTCCAACTGAAAATCTGTACAAGACAAACTTGGCCTTGATCAAGAGGGTGTCCTTAGGAGGGCTAACAGAGGCAGGAAGTACACTTGGTTCTTTTTTATTTCCTTCCTTCCTCCCTTTCTTCCTCCCTCCCTCCCTTCCTTCCTTTTTTCTTTCTCTTTTGAGACAGTATATGTAGCCCTGGCCATCCTAGGAATCTTTTTGTAGACAAGGCTGACCTCTAAATCCCAACCAGCTTGCTTCTGCCCACAGAGTGCTGGGATTAAAAGTGTGTGCTAGAAGCTGGGCAGTGGTGGCGCACGCCTTTAATCCCAGCACTCGGGAGGCAGAGGCAGGTGGATCTCGAGGCCAGCCTGGTCTACAAGAGCTAGATCAGGACAGGCTCCAGAGCTACAGAGAAACTCTGTCTCAATAAATAAATAATTGTACGTGCTAGTAGCCTGGCTACTTGGGTTTTATATGTCATTCTGTGTCCCTCACCTCTATGCTTGGGTCCTACCTCACAGTCTTTTTTTTTTTTTTTGCTTGCTGCCTGGTTGATTTATTTATAACATATATATATATATATATATATTAGTTTTATTTTTTTCCGTTTATTTATTTATTAAAGATTTCTGTCTCTTCCCTGCCACCTCCTCCTATTTCCCTCCCCCTCCCCCAATCAAGTTCCCCTCCCTTGTCAGCCCATAGAGCTATCAGGGTTCCCTGCCCAGTGGGAAGTCCAAGGACCACCCACCTCCATCCAGGTCTAGTAAGGTGAGCATCCAAACTGCCTAGGCTCCCCCAAAGCCAGTACGTGCAGTAGAATCAAAAACCCACTGCCATTGTTCTTGACTTCTCAGCAGTCCCCTACCTCACAGTCTTATTTGATTGTCTAGCCTTAAAGGAAACCTTAGAAAAGAAAATGAAGCAGAGAAGGAAGGAGTTTTTCTCCACTCCAGTAACTTGAGGTCCACGAATGCAGAGGGGCTTTTGTGCAAATAAAGGTTTTATATTGAATCGGATATTTTGATTTTTGCTTTAAAAAAAAATCATAGAAGTCTTTCTTACAAGATAGGGGTAAAAAAGATAATATTTTAATTCCTTGTCTTAAGCACAAGTTTTTGATGTATTTGATGGAAAAGACTCATCTTTAATATTGCCTTTGCCCAGTTGCTCATCCACTCACAGGAGTGATTTGCTCCTTCATGGCACCTGCTCATAGTGTCTAAGGGGGTGGGACTGCTGGTTTCAAAGCTGGGTAGCGATGTCCTCTGAGAGCAAAGTTGTCCCTTTCATTTCTGTGTCTTTAGAGTTACCATTGTAAGGATTACACCGAAGACAGTCAGTAAACACATTGATCTTACTTTGTTTGTAAGAACAGTCTCTGGAAACCCGTCAGACAGAAAATAAGGCCAAGTGGATTAAAAAGATGACTTCAGAAGCGAGAATCAACAAGTAGCCAGGGGCCCCAGGCTGGGTTACTTTTCATACCAAATAACTGTTCCAGGGAGTCAGGGTGTGCACGACTGCGAACAGCCACGCCCAGAGTGGTTCTCATTCAAGTTTCTGGAAGAATTTGAAGGAATTTATTTCTTACTGATTTGGTTTCAAAATTTGAATTACATTTATTGGGAGGGAGGGGGGAGGGAGGGAGAGAGAGAGAGAGAGAGAGAGAGAGAGAGAGATTGATTGATTAGAGGGCGACTTGCAGAAGAAAACTCTCCCTTCCAGCATGTAGGGGGCTCAGGGGGGATCAAATGTTGTATTACAGGCAAGTAATCACCATACCAAGCTGTCAATATTATTTTAGTGTTTCGTGTGTGTGTGTGTGTGTGTGTGTGTGTGCGCGTGCACGCAGGCACCCATGCATCTCAGGCTTACAGGACTCACACTTTTCCTCCTGTACCAAGTCTGCTAATTTAAAAAAAAAAAAAAAAGTTTCTTTCCTACCTGATCAGTGATCCTATCCTTTCATTCACTTCGAAGCGCTGAAGGGAAAATCCCTTTTCTTTCCCAATTTGGATCTAGTATTTTAGGAGCCTGCAAATTAGCCAAGACTATAGATGAATCCAAGAAAAGACAATTGTCCTAAATAAAAGGTGGGGGGAGCGGAAGGCGGAAGGCAGACAGGTATTTTTTGCATTTCAACAGGAGAGTCTGGAAGGATATATTGAGCTTTTTTTATGCTATTGGCCTGGAACAGCTGACTCTTCTGGAAACTCCCTGGGGGATTAATTTCGTTAGCCTTTGCTTTCCTCAGTGGAAATCTAGGAAATATTTCTTTCTGCCTCTACGGCATTTTAAAAGATGATTTAAAATCATCTTTATTCCAAGCGGGGGAGGAGGATATTTGGGGATGTTCTAAGCATGCCCGATTGTGGCTTCTTGTCAGGGATGATTAAGCAGTTGACTTGGGGCAGCAAAATTGGCGATTTTAGTTAGGAAGGCCAGGAACGAGGGAGAGTAACAATCACCGCTCTCTAAGAGAGGCTCGGTAGTACGTAAAAGTGCTTAATAGTCCCAGACCTGGTGCCGCGCGATCAGGCCCCGAACAGACTTTTGAGAAACTCGGTGTCGTCCGAGCTCCACCTGTTAGATCAAGTTATTTCCGCAGGTGCAAGTTCAGTTAATATCCGCGTCCTAGGGTGGCTGCGAGAACTGACGGCGGCGGCAGAGCGCCCAGCTTGGAGGAAGCGCTCACCAGGAGCAGCTCTTTCCGGGTCTGGGTGGGGCTGACTTGAGGACGCCGCCAGTGCGCCCCCCAGGATGCGTCACTCGCCTCAGGCTTATCAAAACTCCACCCGAGTCCCGAGAACATCTTTACTTCCTCTCTTCCTGGTAGCAGCCTCGCGGTCCCGGGCTGTGGGGATCTTACGTCTAGCCCGGACCCGAGGGTGTCGTCGCGCCTGCAGACCCACCTGCGCAGCCTCTCTTTCTTCCCATTCACTCTCCCGTGCGGGGGACTCTAAATCTGACCCCTGGACCTTCCTGGTGAGGTAGGGCCGCGACGCCACCGCCGGAGCTGGAAAGCGAAACCGCTCTGCTCCGCAAACGGCACCGCCCGCGTCCGCCCCTGGGGCCGCCCGTAAGTTTCGATTCTCGGCGAAGCGGTGTCCCGCGCTGCGGCCAGAGCAGCGGCAGCCATAGCGCGCCATGGCCGACCCCGGGGTGTGCTGCTTCATCACCAAGATCCTGTGCGCCCACGGGGGCCGCATGACCCTGGAGAAATTGCTCGATGAGATCGCGCTCCCCGAGGCGCAGCTCTGCGAGCTGCTGGAGGCGGCGGGGCCGGATCGCTTCGTGCTATTGGAGATCGGAGGCCAGGCCGGGATCACTCGGTCGGTGGTGGCTACCACCCGAGCCCGCGTCTGCCGTCGCAAGATCTGCCAGAGACCCTGCGACAGCCTGCACCTCTGCAAGCTCAACCTGCTGGGCCGGTGCCACTATTCACACTCTCCGCGGTGAGTGCACCGGGACTGGGGGAGCCCGTCTGTCCGGGGACGGTGGGGCTGCTTCCTGGGGGAGGATGTCGCTTACTCCTCTTTCCCTCTCTCCCTTTTGCTCTTTAAGACCCCGAGGTTAGTCGTTCCCAACATTCCTAATGTTGCGACCCTTTAATGCTGTTCCTTACGTTGTGGTGACCGCCCCCCATCATGAAATTATTTCCGTTGCCACTTCATAACTGTAATTTTGCTACTGCTATGAATCGTAATGCAAACAACAGTGTTTTCCGACGGTTTTAGGCGAGTCTTGTGAAAGGGTCGATGACCCCCAGGTTGAGAACCGCTGACCTGGGCTAAAGCGCTATTGCCTGGCAGAGACTAGACTTCTCCTCCACCTTTTTCCCTCCTTGCTATCCCGGCCTGTTGTGTTTACCTCAGCGGTGCTGCGCACTCTTCGTGTGTCTCTGGTGCACCAACCCCGGGCCCGCTGTGGCCCTCCACTCCTAGACTCTCCACGTTTCCCTCTTACTACCTGGCTAGAATGCCCCTCCTTGAGACTACCAAAGATGTAGTGGCCTCCACTCTTCCCTGCCTACCCTGCGTGGTGGTCCACACAAGTGACCAACCCTTTCTTGCGACCCATTCTCTCAAACTGCACTAAAGTGTGGTTTAACGTCTCAGGCAGCTGCTTCTGTTCATACTTGATTTCTTTTTGCTTCCTAAGTAACTGTAGGCGTTTCCAAGGCTTAAATCAAGTCTTTTATTTAGCTGTCTTCCAAATTTTGTCTCCAAATTTCTCTGAGAGGGATCACTCGCTTGGGTTCCTCTGTCGTTATTTCCCCAGACAGCTTCAAAACACACATCCCTCCCCTGCGAAGGCCTGTGCTATGAATCCAGCGTCTCCATCTCCCGCGTCTGGGAAACCAGTGCCCTGGTCACATGGGCCAAACTCTTTCCAAACAGGCTCTCCAACCTTACTCTCGACTTTTGTCCAGTTTATATAATTTTTCATCCCTTCTGCCCTTTCCTCTTCCGGATCGCACTTCTGAGTGTTGCAGAGGTAATGAATAGTTCTAATGCTATTTTTTCCCCCCAAAACTTTTTGTGTGTGTGTGTGTGTGTGTGTGTGGTGGTGGTGGTGGTAGTACTGAAGATGGATATAGTAAGGCCTCCTGCATGCTAGGCAAGCGCCCCACCACTGAAACCTTAGTCTTTTCGAGCCAGAGTCTGATTAACTTGCCCGGGCTGGCCTCGAATTTGTTCCATAGCCCTTGAACTTGGGTTTCTCCTGTTATACTCCCAAGAGGTTGAGATTGCAGGTCTTTCCCTTCAGGCCCACACTTCTACTCGGTTATTTTTTTCTGGGTAGAGGATTTTGCACACTTTAAAAAACTGAATGTTGCCCTGTTTTGGAAACAGCATGATCATCAAACTTTTTATTATCCATTTACTAATCAAAACTTCAGTTACCTCCAGTGTGTGTTTATCAAAGCATACAAAGGAGGAAGGTTTTCAATGGATGGAGCAATATTTTTTAAATTGGAGCAAGAATTCATTTGGCTCATTGGATATTTGAAGAGGTGCTTCAAATATTTAATTTTTTATTTAAATGTTTTATGTTATGATGCAACAGTGTGAAAGCCTTTCTGACTTACAGGAAGTTAGGTTTAGCACAAAGGCATCGAAGTTGCTTGCAACTGAAGAAATCACTGAGTGAAAAGGAAGGGAAGTGGTTAGAGGTAGAAAAGGAAGAACATTCTAGCACTGTGCCGAATGGCAACAGGGTTAGACCCTTTGTGAGTCTTTTCTCTTGTCCTTGCCTGTTCTGAGAATTTCTTCTGTACTGTTGGCTTTTAGTTTTACACGTTTCAGTGTTTCTCTCCAGTTCTCAGCCTATCCATAGGTGGCGCACACCTTTAATGCTGGCCTTGGGGAAGGGGGGAGGGGAGCAGAGGCAGGCAGATCTCTGTGAGTTTGGACAACCAGAGCTGTTTTACAGAGAAACCCTGTCTCGAAAAGCAAAACAAAACATAAAACCAACATAAATAAATAAAAGGAGAGGGGAGACAGCTGAGCCTCCATGTACCCATCGTTTTGATTCAACAGTTTTCAAAATATGGCCTTTCGCTTGGCGATGGTGGCACATGCCTTTAATCCCAGCACTCGGGAGGCAGAGGCAGGCTGATTTCTGTGAGTTCGAGACCAGCCTGGTGTACAGAGCTAGTTCCAGGACAGGCTCCAAAGCCACAGAGAAACCCTGTCTCGAAAAACCAAAAAAAAAAAAAAAAACCAAACAAACAAAATATGGCCTGTCTTGTGTCTAGTATTCTTATCTCCATCCCCAGCCCCAGTGATTTACATTAAAGCAAATCCCAGCGATACTTCCTAAGTATTAAGTATCTCTAACAGACGAGGACTATGTTTTATTAGTATTCTCACGGTATAATGGTCATTTTTAAGAAAAAAAAATGTCTTTAGCATTGGTGGTGGCACGTGCCTTCAATCCCAGCATGTGGGAGGCAGAGGTAGAGGAATCTTTTGGAGACCAGGTTCAAGGCCAACCTGGTCTACAAAGCAAGTTTTAGGACAGCCACAACTACGTCAAGAAAACAAGTCTTGGTCTCCCTCCCTTAAAACAGGGTCTCATTATGTTCCAGGTTGGTTTAGAACTCTTCCTTAGGCCAAAAATACCTTGAACTTTTGGTCCTCATACCTCCACATAAGTGCTGGGAATACATAGTTGGCACAACCAGAGCGGGTAAATGAGGTGCTGGAGCCTCAACTCAGGACCTTGTGCATGTTAACAAAACACTTTACCAGAGCAACTACATCCTCAGCCCCCCCAACAATTATTTTATTATTATCAGGTAATTTGATAGTCAAAGTCTCCTGATTGCCTTACTAGTCTAACTTGTTTTTTTCTGAATAAATAGACATAATCTGTAATTACTTTGATACATAGCCAGTATGTTTTTAGAACTGCCATTTCACTTTGTTGCACACATGTTTAGAATTTTTAGTTTTATGAATTTTGTTTTTATTTTTATTTTATGGGCAGTAGTGTTTTGCTATGGGTTTTAGGGTCCCTTAGAACCAGAGTTACAGGCAGTTGTGATTGGCCATGTGGGTGCTGGGAATTGAGCCCAGGTCCTGGGAGAACAGCCAGTGTTCTTCACCCCTGAGCCATCTTTCCAGCCCCATGAGTTTTGTTATTATTATTTTTGTCTGGTTTGAAACAACCACTTTAAGTTCACAGGCTGGCTCAGAAGCGGCACATTGCTGTATTTTGAAAAATTATATATGATAGAGGGATTATTTTGTCTGTTCAAGTTTGGGTAGGGATAGACTCTCCAGAGAACTCATTATGGGGGGAGCAGTGTTTCTTCTTGGAACTTGCTTGTGTAGACCGGGCTGGCCCCAAGCTGACAAAGATCCATCTGCCTCTGCCTCCAGAGTGTGCTGGGAGTAAAGGCGTGCACCACCATACCCGGCCAGAGTGTGCTTATTTATGTGTGGGGGTGTTTTGCCTGCAGGCCCACTGCTTCCTTGTGCCTGGTACCCTCTGAGGATGGAAGAAAGAATCAACCCCGCCCCCCCCCCACTGTAGCCACCATGGGGTGGCTCAGGTCCTCTGGAAGAGCAGCCAGTGCTCAAAACTACGCAGCCATTTCTTCAGGCCTAGACTCTCCTCAAAGTCTAGTCAACTTTAAAAACAAAAACAAAAAATCCCACCAAGTTTGTTTTGTAGTTTTTTTCCCTTTAGCAACTCTTAGAGAATTTTGTCTTCTAAAACCTGACATGCATGAGTGATTCTGGCTAATGGGGCCAGCTAGCCATTAATACCCACAATGACATACTGTATTTGTATCTTGTAGTGTAATTTGCATTTTTGCTGGTCTTAGGATACTTTCTCTGTAGTACCTTTATTTATAGATAGAAATTCTCCCGACCTGGTGTCCCTGCCTTCCCTTTTGTAGTGCTTCTGGCTATACATTTTAGTTGACAACAGGTCTTCCCTAGGTAGGCAGTGAAGCCTTGTTTGGGCGCTCAAGTTTGGACATTTCTGTTTGCTCTGCTGACATGATATTCCCAAACCTGAAATTCCAGTCCCAGGTGTGACACAGACACTAATTATGCAAGAAGCACCGTAGAGACGATGGCTAAATTAGTCTTCATCATAGCTCCTGAGAGGTCCGCAGACCAGGCCTGTTTCTGCCTCCAAGTGCTGGGATTAAACGCCTGTGCCACCCACCGCCCCACAAATCCTTCCCTTTTAAAGAGTATTTTAACATCATTATTATTGTTTTTTTTTTTTTTTTTTTTTTTTTGGTTTTTCGAGACAGGGTTTCTCTGTGGTTTTGGAGCCTGTCCTGGAACTAGCTCTTGTAGACCAGGCTGGTCTCGAACTCACAGAGATCCGCCTGCCTCTGCCTCCCGAGTGCTGGGATTAAAGGCGTGCGCCACCAGTGTGTGTAGGGGCTTATGTGTGTACCGCAGAGCACACGTGAAGTTCATGTGTGTACCGTAGAGCACACGTGAAGTTCAGCACAGACATGTGGATTTGGTTTTTTTTCCTTTTTTTTTTTTTTTTTTTTTATAAGACAGCGCCTTGCTAGGTTGTGCATGCTGGCCTCAAACTCAAGAAAATCCCCCTGCTTCAGCGTCTTGGGTACTGGTATTACAGGCACGTCATCTGGAAAGGTGGCTCAGCAGTTAAAAGCACTTTCTACTCTTCTTGGGTTCTGTTTCCATCATCAGGATGGCAGCCCCAAACCATTTGTGTCCCCAGTTTTGTGGGATCTCACCCCCTCTTCTGGCTCCACAGGTATGCATGGGGTGCACATACATATGTGTAGGCAAATTATTCATAGATAAGATAAAAGATAAATAAACCTAAAATAAGAACCTTACCTTCATCAGATGGAGCAGGAATAGAGGTCTTTCCATTTTTTTTTTCCCCTGAAGGCCACTGTACCTTGTAGCTGACAGAAGTGACAACCAACCCTATTTGTGTGACT